TTCCATGCAAAACTGTTTGGGTTTTCTTCTTTTTTTCATATATACAGGAGGAGCTATTTTTCATTAGCTGTCTGGATATTATATGAGTATCCATGTGTTTAATGCTGTCTCTTATACACATCTCCGCCGCGGGTGGCGGGTCGCTTGCCTGTAGTCGCCCATGGGAAATGTGAAGCTGGGCGTTGTGTGCCCAGCAGAACCACTCGGTTGCCCATCTCCGGCAGCCTCGGTAGCCCGTGGCTCACCCCAGCCACATGGCCGTGCGGGAGGGAGGGAGGGAAGGTGGGCTGCCTTGCTAAAGGGACTCTTCCGTTTATATCGCTGATGTGGCTGAATGTAACATAACTGCCTTGTCTGTTGATACTTAGAGTATTTAAGCGTGACTAGACAGCGATAATTTGCAAATTACTGTTTTCTCACCGTACATATAAGGCTCCTCAGAAACAAAAACTAAGGATCTTCTTTACACACCCTGATGTATTTCACCTGGTGCGTACTGATAGGTATATTGAATGGGACAGCAGGTTTTTAAAGTCAGAATTCTTTAAGGATGTTAGTATGTTGATCTCTCAGGTTTTTCAAAGTAGGCTAAACCTTGACTGATTCAACCTGCAGAACGTGAATTGCAAAAGGCAAGTGTTACTGGGCAATTTGTATTAGAGGTGATGCTGCACATCTGGAGTGCCCTTGCCACCATGCTACAGTATCAGTGGGGGTTTGGGAGTGAAGACTTTTCAGTGCCTGGGGTTTGGGGTTTTTTATGGCTGTATGAGTGTTAATTTGACAGTATGTTTCCAAGATTTGGCTCGACTGTATTTTCTATCAAGTGACAGACCTTGAGAAATGGAGGCAGGTAGAAAAAGAGTAACTATATGGAATTACTACAGAAGTTAATCTTCATTAAAATTAGGTCCAAGATTAAATTGTACTTAAAACAGTCTTAAACTGTTATTGCTTCAAGAAAATTGTAAAACCCAAATATTCTGTGACGATTTATCTAAGCATTACCATCCTCAAGAGAGCACGTTCTCTAGGAACGCTTTAGGTAATTAGAGATCTGGTTTAGCCAAAACTCAGAAGGAAGTTGTGAATATAGCTGGACAGTTTCTTTTCTGTACTAGATGAAATTAGCATCAGAAAATGTATTTACTGAATTTACAACCTGCTGTATCAAAGAGCACTGTAAAGCAGCAGTCATGATAGTAAGCAGTTTCAAACTGTCCTTTTCAAAAGGCACGATGTATTTTTTAATGCATACCATACCACTGGATTCCTGGATGGTTTAAATCACTCTGGTTATTAAACAGCAGTCTGAAATAAGTATCTTCTTAAACTGGTCTTGTAACTCTCCTTCAATGTGGAAACATGCCAAATGCCTCATGTGATGCATTTCTCTAGATAAGAATGAAAAGGTTGATATCATGGCCATTCCTACAAGGTATGCTTCCAGTCAGTGCTGTGTAATTGTGCAGGAAGAGAACTGGATCTCAAGGGACATACACTGGAACACAGCTGTCAAGTCCTTGGGCAACTACATGATTCTGTGGGCACCTGCTCCTCAGAGCTAGATCCTTGCAGTCCTAACCCTTGGTCTCGGATCTGTGCAGGCTCAGGTTTTTCCCAGCAATACTCACTTGAATGCATTGAGGTCTCCTGCTTTATGTGGCTTTAGTTTTGACAGTGTTGATTAGTCATGTGCCCAAGTTGTCCAGGGATACAGAATTTCCTTGGCAAGTTGTTCTTGGGAGAGCTGAAGGATCTTCAGATTACATATAGATGATCAGGACCACTTAAAAACCATGCAGGGGAGAATATTGCCATGCCTTTTTTTTTTTTTTTTCCCTTAATATTCTTTCTACACTTTGTCTGGAGCTGTTAACCAGATGTGAAGAGCCAAGTTCTGAATTTGCATCTTTCATTTCTCAAGAGAGCGTTAGAACCATAAACCTGTGTGTTCTAGGCTGGTGGTCTCCGACTCCTTACTTACAAAGCTGTTTCACCTTCCTTTCAATACAGAAATATTCATAAGTTGAGCTGTGATCCTACAACTCAGTGGCTAGGGCATAAACCCAGGAGTAGTGAAGTTTGATTTCTTGTCCTTTTTCCAACTGTATGTTAAATATTAAAAATATATTTGCAGAATACATGTGGCCAAGCAATATTGAATTTCAAGAAAAAAATATTTATTATTAAAGTGTCCCTTGATTCTTTCAAATGCCTATAAAAATCACACCTACTAAAACCACTGCTCCTAAAGGGTATGTTGGACCTCACAGAAGTCCCACCAATTCCACTGCCCTTCCTTCCACTTAATTAGGTGATGGATCCCCAGGTGACCAAGTCTTCTTTCTTCTTACGCTCTGAAAAGAGTGAATGTGGGCAGGATTGTTCAGTCAGTCATGTGTGTGTAAGCTATTGATTTACAGAGTTGGAGAAAACGCTCAGACTCAGGTCTCTTTTTTTTTTTTTTCTAATCATTAGGCTCAGTCATTTTACTTGTTTGTACTGTCCGTTGTGTTTTGTATCAGCTGGCTTGCTCTTTGCTCAGCCTCTGTTCATCGTACTCACAGGTGTTTTAGTTTCAGATGTACTTTACTCAAAATGCACTCCCCAGGGTTGTGGGCTGGCTGTGAAAAGGGCAGTCCTGCTCTGGCCCCCTGCTTTCCCAAACACTGCATTCTGATCCCACCTTGTGCCGTCAACCACAGGGGGAGGTGGAAAATGACTTTTTTTTAAAAAAAAGTTTGTTTATTTTGGTGGTTTGGTTTTGCATCTAATCAGTGAGCTGGGCTAGCTCATGGTGCAGCTGCATGTTTACTAGATCTAACAGGAATGGTTGTTGGCAAGGGAGAGCCAAACTGCACCTCCGGTAGCAGCCAGCCCTTTAGGCGAGTTGAGGACAGGTAGGCACAGCCTCCATATGTGATGGGCAGAGCCTTAGAAGGGCAGCCTCCACTAGGAAGCCACGCTTTGGCTAGTTTAGGCCTGCTCTCTGCCTGTGAATCCTGCATGCTTTGGTTAATACCAGAAGTATCCTTTGACTGGTGGAAACATTTATTGAACTTGTTTGCTTGATTAAAATGCTGTTTATTTCATTTAGTGAATTTTGCATGATGCATATCCTGACCTATTGCTCTCCTCTTCAGACTCTTGTTTAATTTTATCAAAGAGCAACTTTATTTACTCTGAATTGCTATCTCCCAAGATACTTTAATTCTGGTAAATATTCTCTCTCTAATCTAAGTAGGACAACACCCAATCTCTGTCATCAGAGAACCTAAGATCTCCTCTCTCTAAAGAGAAGGGCAAAGCATGCTTTAAGTAGGACAGACTGAGTTTAGGTTAAGCCGTGTTGTCATTCTGGTTAGTAATGCTATTAAGGCTCCCTCAGAAAGATTGCTTATGCAAAGAAAAATTATGTTGATAGTGTTTTGTGGCCGGGATGAATCTTCAGACCTAAACTGAAGAGCCTCATGTAGGAAGAGGTTCAAATTCGGGGTTTGGTTTGAGCTCATCTGTGTTGCATCATATCTCTTGCTCATGTTAATACTTTGAACTGTGCAGAATTGATGAGATGACTTCTCTTAAGCTTAGCATGAGTGTTTGCCTGTCATCACAGCTGAAGTTTACATGAATTCAGTGCCAAAAAGAAATTATGTCAGCAATCTGATGCTTATCTTTCCTGTAAATTGTATCCTGGTGATTTTGTTTTGAAGATTTGTTTTTCAGTGATCTAATAGCCACACTTATACTGAAGAGAACAGATAATTAGGCCCCAAACGAAGGCCCTTGGTGTTTGGGGGCTTTGCGTGGTCATTGCAATGAGCTGTGGGTCCGGCCTGAAGAACAAGTTCTGGAGATGCTGCTTTGGCAATTAAACCAGCTTTGAAGTCCAAAAAAGCAATCTAGAAAGACCATGACCCAGTGGCCTCAAAATCTATTAGGCATTTAAATTAGTTTGGCACCTGTGCTTTGGATCCTGGAACCTGGATGTGGACTTGAACAGTGTGTGGTAGCCTGAGCAGGTGGGTGCCTGGCTACCTGCCCAGCTCTCCTGGGCACCGGGAAGGCAGAGGGTGGTGTGCTGAGCCCGTGCCCCCTGTGCCCTCATTGACAGAGCATGCTGGGGATATGTTAATGCACACATGTAATGCCTCGGCTTCGTCTGGTGTGGCAAGCTAGAAGCCTGCTTGGCCTTTGTGGGACAGTCTCCTCACCAGAGCTGTGGGAGGGTCCCTTCCACCTGCAGGAATCCAACCCCTCGCTCCCACAGAGCCCTTGTGCCTGTGGGCTCAGGGGGCTGGATGTGGCCCTTCCCACCCTGCTTATTGAAGCTGGGCCAGGGTGAACAGCGTGAGGTGGTTCATGTGGCTGGAAGGTGGCCCAACCCTTGACCAGGGGCTGGAGGGGGCAGATAAAGGGGAGCTAAGGGTGGGTTCTCTTTAGAAAATGCCGGCATCTGGTCTGCTGTGTGTGTACTTCTGATGAGGAAAGCACCTGCCATATAGAGAGGAGGGTTAGTCAGAACAAGGTTGAGAAGTAGCTTGAGCTATCAGTGATTCTGTGGTTAGCAGTGAACTGGTACAAAAACAAATAGTGTTTCCTATTTCTGAGGGATTCATGAATCATTGTTTAGTACTGATCTTCTAGGTGACAACAAAACATTCTCAAGATCAGCTCCGCAGTAGAGGAACTTTCAAAACCTTTTACTTCTGGGTTGGGTTTTTGGTTTGGGTGTTGGGTTTTTTTTTCCCAGTTTATTTTTACAAAATGGGATTGTTGGTCTATAGGTTGGAAACTCTGTCAGTCTTCTGTTCAGGTTCTCTCTCTGCTCAGCAATGACTGGAGTACCTAAAAAGTTTCCTTCATGAAACCTTGATTAAACTCAGAACATCTCCCTGAATCATCCTGGCTTTCATTCAGTTCAGTTGGTATGTGTACTTCGAGATCTAGTTTCACCAGCATGTGAAATCATGGGTCAAAAATATCTTGTGAAGAGTGTTGATTTAAACTCAACAGGATTAAAAAACCCCATACATTCATGTTGTGGGTATTGCTCACTTTGTTGTTAAGCAAATCTTCCCTGAGGGGAAAAAGGGAATGGTAAGTTCATGCTCCAATTTCTGCTCTCAGGACCTCTATCTTCTCAGAAGGGAGTAGAGCCCCACCACTGTGCCCCATAGTTGTAGCAGCATTTGGCCAATAATAATTGGGATGTTAAATGCTCCCATAAAATTAAGACAGTTCTGATTTCTGCTGTTTTCTCCCAATGTCTATGCAAAATCTGCCTGGGCAGCTGCCAAGTACTCCAGCCAGTACAGCTCTCTGAGAGGCTCTGTTGGGGCTGTTAAAAGTGCTAAAAGCAAAAAATAATAGTTGTACCTTATAAAGATGAGATCCTCCTGAACTTGTATTTTAAAGTGTGTTTAGACAGCTTCCTGAGCTCAGTGCATGTGCCCAGCAGAGCCATATTCCCAATCTGGTTTGGATTTGAATTAATTAAGATCAGTTCCCATTTCCTGTTCTAGAGTAATTAATTTAATCTCTTTTCATATGAGTCGTACTGCTGTCACCTATTTCCTTTCTTAATCTCAGCTACAGTCTTTTAGCCTTCCTTTTATACAATTTATGTATTTCCTTCCTCTCACTACAGTGCTGTAACTGGTTATAGAGTGACAGTGTGGAGCAGAACTGCTGAACTGCTTCCATCATCCTGTGGAAACTCCATAATTTAGAGGAGTTTTTGTTTTCATCATGAAACAAAATAATAATTACATGTAAAATAACTATTAAATAATTATTGTAAAATAACTAATAAAACCTGCTTCAACTAAAACAAAGCAGTAGATGTGTATGTGCATGTATAGATGTATATATAAAAAAACGAGTCCATCTTGACTCTTGTTATGTCAACAGGGTTTCCATCAAGTAGTTTTAATGGTAATGAAACTTATTTTTCCATGCAAAACTGTTTGGGTTTTCTTCTTTTTTTCCTATATACAGGAGGAGCTATTTTTCATTAGCTGTCTGGATATTATATGAGTATCCATGTGTTTAATGTGTGGCTCTGTATTCACGGCAGAGGCTGAGGAGTCCTGGATGCCATTCAGTGCTCTCTTTCAGTGTTTCATTGAGTTGGTTTCCAAGGGCCATCTTTTCAAAGCTAGACACATTTAGCCATGTTAGGGATTTCCACTGCACAGGCAGATGCTTTTGCCTAAAATACCTTCTTCTTGGCTGTCCTATTGAAAAATACATCCAGATGTTTTCAGTTCTCTTTGGTATCAGGGCTATAGAGAGATGGCTGACAGTTCTATTTTTGTGGCTTCCTGGCATTACTGCAGAAGGAGAAAAAAAATGGATTAAAATCTGATACAGAATATATAAAGAAAGTCTTAAGTTTTAAGTTAGATTATAAAGTAACCATCAGTGATTTTTTTCCTAATCTGCTTAGAGCAAAGGATTTATCTTATGTTGAATTCTTTCCATGTTCTCATCAAAAGCCAAGTTCTTTTCACAGATATTTCAGTCTCTTAAGTTTTCTTTACTGGTGTCCTGACTTCAACTTTTGCTTTGCTGTTTTCCATCTGAATCCAAAGTGATCTGCAGTCCAACATAATGGATTTATTCTTTTGTGTTTACTGCCCCAATACATACCATATTTTACATCCTTGTCCAAGTCAGTGAATTTATCTACACTTCACAGGAACATTGTTGTCAGTTCAGTATCTGGATGAATTGGTTACTTGCCTAATGCAGCATTAGGAGGAAACACTATCAACTTTTACAGCCTAGAGCATAGGGGATTCAGCGTATTAAAATCCCAAGTTTTACGCTTTATCATGGAATAGATTTATGATATTTCCTTCTTAATTCAAATATAAATCTCTCATGAGAAACATTGGCTCAGATTTATGGAAGTTGTTCTTTTGGCCCTTGTAAATGATATTATTAATCTTCTGTATACTGGGGCAGGCTTGGATTAAATCTGCATTTAAGGGCTGCAGGTGCAAGGCTATAATGCTGAGC